GTCGCATGCAGCCACATGTATTACCACCATCGAAAGTTCTATAAATGTCAATCAACGTGTGAGCGACCGCAGATATCAACGCGGCATTATAGGCCTACCTTCTATACTACTCATATTATCGGGAATGTATAATATAGATGTCTAATATATAGTGTCTATATTATACATTCCTGATATGATTTACATTTTTATTAGGGGTAAGTAAAAACAAATTGTGCTTTTATTTGCGCCTGATTTTATAGACATTGTGTAGTTACTATATAGATATTATATACAAGTATTTCACATTACATATAGATAGTATATTAATATGTTATACTTGTGTTATAGGCCATCTAAGCGGACAGTGTTAATATCAAAGGATACCATTTTCATTAACTAACATCAGAGCTGCCATTGCGCTCGTCAAAGTCCAAACGATCCATCGCCCTATTTCCTTATACAAATTTTACCGAATAAATATGGGGCAAAATATAATCTCGATGTGGTCACCATGCACTGAGCAGTTTATAGTGGGGTCTACTTGACCCACCCGCTTCAGTGATTGATAGCATATATGCTAACAATATCTTAGACTATGTTAATAAGATCTAGTTAAGAATAAAATATTCTTAGTTTATGTTTGATAGGCAGTTAATTATAGGCAGCCATTCCTGTGCTAGAAACGTTCTACAAACGCTATATTATTATGGCAAAATACCGCTAAACTCGACAGTGCACGTCGCGCGCACGCGTATCAGATACAGAGACTAGTTAAGCTAGACCGACCTAGCGAAGAAGTCCAAATACAGAACGTGGTTATCTCGTTCAGGTGGATAGATTGATTGACCGCATTATGGTCAGTATAACAATGAATATAGCAGTGTTGTAGTGGTAAATAATTTTGTGGGTATACTCCCTTACAGGGGCGATGAATACGCGAAGGGGGGGGGTCTGGGAGCCCTCCCCCCGAATTTTTTTGAAATTAGACCCCCTCAGATGCGTTTTCTGCGCGAGCAGGTGGGGGGGGGAGTCCGGACCCCCTGGACCCCCCTGTACGCGCCCCTGCAGTAATTGAAATGATTTAGGTCTGCCCATGTCTCCAAGTTATCATAATTAACTGAACTATGTTAGTTACTGTGTTGTGTATGTTTGTGTTTTGGTGTGTGTCATTTACCATAGTACGTGATTAAATTTGTTAATTTCTGAGTATGTGTATAATAATATGTGAGAGTGAATATTGATCTGTTATTTCTAGTTACTTGCTAAT